GGACTATTTCTATTTGATTTTGTTGTATTTAAATAATGTAATGCTGGCCCGCATGAAAACAAAAATCTCTAGAAGTAGGCTGTAAGCCTACTGCTATAACTTAGATATATTTTTGTTTTCATAAAGTTCAGACTCACAGGAGAAACCAATATTCCAATTTTATTTTGTGTTGTAAAGTTAAATAATTATTTAAAATGAAATTCGTCATTCATGGCTCCGAGTTACAAGATATCAAAGAGCCGAAGGAGATGGAAATTAGCTTTATTCTCAAGATAGCCTATATCCAGAGAGAGAACCTAATGAAAGATCTGTTGCGTACACACGCAAATGTTAAAGAGATTTTTTAGTAATATAATTAAATCAGTTGAATATTTAATATCGTAGCATTTGTTTTTATTCTTTTCTTGTAGGCGTATATAGTCGAGACACTCTAACCTAAGTTTTAGAAACATTGTAGGCGATACAGTGCCTTATTGATCCGGTTGTAGCTATTTTAAAACCAAGCTACATAGCAAATTGTTATAATAAATGTCAAATTATGAAAAAAAATTATAATAAATGTAATTATCTGATTATTATTTTAATATTTTAATGTATATTTAAAATTTAAAATAATTTTAAGTATGTTTATTTTTTAATATTTACAACGTAATAAGGCATTCATGTTTATTCTTTTTCATACTCGTGATTTGTTTCTAGACTGTTGTTTTTAAAATTAAAATATCTTACTTTATATTAAATGTTTACGTTGAGTTAATTATATTAATTTCATCTAATCGTAGAAATATAAAAATCTAATTAAAAAATAAACCAGCAACGAGTTGCTTAACTTTTCCGGCAACATTTTAAAACTTTCTGGCTCCGTCTGTTATCATATTTTATTAAAACAACTTTATATATATGATTTTAATCATTATAAAATGGCAAAAACCTTAAATTTAAGTGTAGGGACGAGTTTTATAACGAGTAAAATCGTCATTAATTCCGGACCCTACTTGAAATACCACACACCACTCACTTTTTCTCACTATCCTCTCGATCTTTAACCACCAAAATTTAATAGTATCAATGTCCCTAATACACAAACTTCCCTGTAAAATTTCAGAAATTTTTGACAAAAAACACAGGAGTTATTAAGCTCCAACGTATGGGAACAAAACCGTACACTAATGTCCATACATACAGAAAAAACCCAGAATATTTTGTATTTCTCGATCTTCCAAAGTCCCAGAGTCCAAAAAAATGTAAAAATCTTAGGGTGGTCGGTCAGTTCGCCATACTTTCCCTCTGTTACATATAAGAGAGCCGGAAATTGTATATTATAAAACTTATTTTAATAATTTATATTGCTAACTTTACTGTATACAGGAAAGTGAAAAAGTAGGTATACAGCTGTTATCATTGCTTTTAATTTATGCATAAAAGATAATGTACACCACACCTGTATTTCCAAGATTCGCAATTGTATACCTACTTTTGCATTACCCCCGTTTATATTGCATTAAACTGTGGACACTTCAGGCGCGTGTATATTTAAATAAATTAGTTATAATGCCAGAAAAATAAACTGTGAATGTGTGACTAAAATAATAACCGTCTTTAAGTAGGAATTTTATACTTTAAAAAAGTTCTATAATTCTCTTATCATACGTGAAATGATTTAGATAAATTATTAAATATACAAATAACTTTAAGATGCTTCAATTCTTTCCGAATTTTCCATAATTTATGCCATTGATATATCGTTTTTTAAGTGTTTAAATTGAGGATTAGTTCGATCTAAATTTAATCGTCCAATCGAAAACTTGATAGAAACTCGAAAAAGTCTACAGTCAATAATGGAAAATCGTTTTAAAAACTTTTTTCTCTTATATTTTCTTCGTTTATTGGATATTTTTCGCCATCAATTGAAAAAAAAAATTGAAGATAGTGTTGTGTGGTGTACATTCCAAACAAAGATTTCTTTCAGTTCGAGTAGAAAAATCTATCGATACTGTTGGAATAAATACTCGAAAAAGGGATAAATCTATCGACTTTTTTTCGTTATTCTTCTGCGATATTTTACTATAAAGCTTATTAGCTATAATTCTAAGTGTTAATAGAATAAATTCGATCTCGTTTGGAAAGTTTATTATGGCCGATCGTCGTTTAATTAGTTAGGAACATAAACAGTGTAGTTTGATGACTTTAAACTGTAAACTAATCTTATTTTTCTTATTCGTATTTATTTGCAATAGTTAAACTTGGAATTAATTAAGTTATTTATTAGGATATTCAATCCTAACGAGCTAAAATTTTTAATTTAAAATCGCTATCTCAATTCAATAGTGGCTTGACCCTGTAAATCATACTTTTCGTCACAGACGTGCTAATTTAAGGGAATTTTAAATTGAAACCACGTCACTTCCGATCTAGAAAGGACATTTACATACAGTTATTCGGGGCCATTTATCCCTGAGGTTTTCATATCTGGTCTCGATTTTTACCTATCTTGCACCATTCTTGAGATTAAAGATGGACAGACAGGTGATGGTGGGAGTTTATGTCTACAGTTTTTTCAAATGCAGCCCAATAAAATGTACAAATTACAGAAGAATAATTCGTTTGTATCTTTAACACTTAATTCTACAATAGTGAAATTTTAACGAAGATTTATCGATTCAAACGTTATTTATCGTAACGTTTACTTCATAAATTTCATTAAGTATAATGTGCAGGATAATAGAATTTTATGGGATTAAGAATTCGTTTACTAGATTTATTATTCGAATATACAAGTCGAATTGGATTGAATTATAGTAAACTTAATGACGGGAGGAAGGAATTTCCCCATATCTAGATAGTTATAATGTAAAAAAAATGTTTTGTAGTGTATAGATTCTATTGTAAAGAATGAAATTTGATACAGAGATTTCCCTTTTATGAAGAGTGAATGGATGATTACGGACGTGTAGACGTTATTTTAAATGATCAAATCATGTTTGGAATGTTCTTAAATAAGATTTTCTTTTATTAGAAAAATCGATATCGAAATTCTAATCGATAAAGCCACGTATTTTTTATTTTAACTTCTCAAATTATATATTAAAATATTACAGAAAAAAAAAAAGATAATTGCCCACCGGTGGTTGAGTAATGGAAACCACTGGTGGTCGTGGGTTCTCTCCTGGCCAACGGGATGGCTACGTGAGTTTTCCTGGTTTTCTTCGCCTTTATAACACCTAAACAGGGGCCATTTTCCCATAAGATTCTCGCCCATTGGATAAAACCACCGGTGGTCGTGGGTTTAGGTCTGACACCACCTGTGACTTTCAGTTTTCGGCCACGTATATAGGACCTTTATGGAATAAGGGAGGAAGGAGGGAAATCTTAGAAAGACAGGGAGGCCCGGAAGTAAGACACTCAACTATTGAATTAGCAAAAAACAAAATAACATTTAATTCTACGTAAGAGTCGGAGATACATACACCATATGACATCAAAAGAGTTATCTATAGGGATCCTTGATTGCTGGCCAGTTTGGGCATACTAGAAATGGGGAGGAAAGTCTTATACTGGCGACTCTGCCCATAATATTAATGGTCACAATCGGTTCAATTCCATTATCCTTTAAGTTGGGCAGCGGCTGGATCGGTAGGAACTGGCTGTAGGGGTGACCGCCGAATCAGGCAACCTTCTTGACCTTTTTTGTTAGTTCTTTTATACATTTTCGACCATTCGAGATGTCTCCAAATAATGCAATATCGGATGAAAATGTTTTATCTTGTTCACAAAATGCGGCCTCTTTGAACGTTTACGGGATCGGCTTAATCGAGTGGAAAAAAAATTCGGAATATTTTCAATAGTCTAAAATAAATTGAAAAATAACACATGTTAAGTAATGGCAAATTCATTGGATTAAATGCTATTATTATTATTATACAATAAAAATCGCTTCCTGTAATCATTTAAACTGCTTCTTTCACATATCTACGGTCGTCGAAGGGGAGAATTAGGGATGTTTTACCGCCCTAGCCGGAAACTTAGTGGCTCCTAACTCTATAAATTAATGCTGTTTGTATTCGGTGGCGCGTTATACCTTCGTGGGGCCCGGGCGAATTTGAATTAGGTAGGACCCACGTAATTTAGACACTTTTCTTCGAGAGAATTTTTCTGGGGAAAATACTTTCTAATAACAGGTTGGTTTGTGGAGGCCCTCTGTTGGTAGGGGCCCCAGGAAGTTGCCCTTTTTAGCTCACAGGATAACGCGTCACTGTTTGTGCTAACAAAAAATATTTGACTGCTATTAATATTTATTGGGCTGTAATTTTTAAAAATTGTCACTGTTGTCCGTCTGTCCTTCCTTAATCTCGAGAACGGTTTTAGATAGACGAAAATCGAGAAAAGATACGGAAACCTCAGGTATGCAAGGCCCCGATTAACCATATATAAACTTCCGATCGAGACAGGAAGTGACGTGATTTCAATTCAAATATTCCCTGTCCTGACGGTTATCAGGAAAAGTATGATTTTACGGGGGCAAGCCACTACTAATTTGAGGTGGAGAGCATATATTTTAAATTAAATAAATTTAAAATATGATTAAAGATTACAGCCATTTGTTCAAAAACAAGGTGGGAGCCCTATATCAAACTTTCAACAGTCCTGTTTATATATACAGGTATATATATGAAGCAATTTAAATATATATATATATATATAGCCTATATATATAATTTGTAGTGTGTGCATGAACTAGAATAAGATTTCGGATAGAATATGCTCCTAGAAAAGTACGAATTTCATAACTTTGATCATTTTCAAATGTATTAAATTCGCTTTTTTATGAGATTTATTCTTACAGTAAATAAACCTTTAAAATTTATCCGTTTGTGCGCGATAATCGATAGAAAATCTTTATATATAAGACGTCTTGTTAGATTATTTTGTTCGTTCAAACGGAGAATATTAAATCGTTTCATTCCAACACACTTTTTCCCTTCTTTTTCTTCTTTTAATAGAAATTGTGGGAAGCTTTGAGGTACGGACTAGAGAAATCTCTCCAAAACAGGATGACGAGGGAAGTGAACCAAGCTTGGTTTGCTGTGTTCAAATACATATCGTGGCAAGTTATTAAAGGTATGAGGGACACTTACGCTAAAGGTATAGACTAACCTTACTTGTCGTCGAGAAATAAATTCTGTACAAAATTACATTTTTAATGTATTAAAAAAATAAAAATTTCAAAGGTAAAATGTGTGTCTTTGACCTCATTTATCTACTCGGATTTCGATGTTTTAACCACTTTTATTTACCATTTACCGGTGAAACCTATGATTTATAGTCACGTAATAAAGCTTCTACTGTGATGTAACACGTGTTCGAATGCAAAAACCCTATCGACCAATGGGTATGGACCACTAATTTTTAAATGCTTGCCTCGTCGTGCCATTTGGTAAGTATTCTTTGCTTTAACGAACTGTATTATAATACAGTAGAATCCCGATTAACCGTGAGTAAATGTACGTTGTATGATTAAATTCACTAAGGTATAAAAAGAAGGACAAAGCTGTCACGTAAATCTTTTCATATTCGCAATTTCTAATTCGAAATGGCAGTGGACTTCCGTTTTATCGGTGTTTTCGGTTATCCGTGTTAGCATCAGGCCACGTTACTCCGGATCACGTAATCGGGATTCTACTATATATATAGGGGAGATCGGGGCAAGATCGGCATGTTAAGCTTTACTTAAATTTTGTGTAATAAATACTGCTGTAAACTGAAAAAAAAGCTTTGCATATTGTCTATTGGAATGTTACCTTACTATAGAACTGGTTAAAATCAGTTTGGAAATAAAAATAATTAAAATAATTACAACTTTACAAGAAGAGAGAAATTGACGAAGTTGCCCCGGGTATAGGGGCAAGATCGGCAACTTCTCTCTTTTTGTAAAGTTGTAATTATTTTAATTATTTTTATTAAAGTTGCCCCTGGTATAGGGGCAACAGTAATGGGGCAAGATAGGCACGTATATAAAATTATGTTATTAACAATGTATAAGTTGGAATTCACTATTAAAACAAAGAAATACAAATCCAACACCCATTTAATATTATTACAACGAAATGCAAGTTCAAAGACATATATACATGAATAACAAATGCAAACATGTTTTCATTTATCATCTGTTTGATTTTTATCCTTTGCTTCTAATGTGGCTTTATGTTGCCGATCTTACCCCGCTAGTCATGATTTCGAAACATTAAGTACAACCCTGAGAACAGAATGCCAAGCCACGATCTGGCCACGTGAATAAGTTGAAGTTACATCCTTCTAACAGGAAAAGTAACTTTCGTTATCATGGAATTATAACAAAACCTGCCAATTCAATATAAATGGAAAAAAAATATTATATGGAATTGAACGAAAATGAAAATTTGCTTGATAATTCAACTACGCTTGTTGGAGAACAATAAAAACACTACACTCAACAAGCCACCAATAAAACTCAACTGCCTAACCTATAACCAAAGTCTCCTTTTAATTTGTTTTTTAAAAAAAGCGCTTGACAAACTTGCCCCGCATGCCGAAGTTGCCCCGATCTCCCCTATATATATTAATGGTTAAATTCTAACTCTTAGTTGTATGTACACAAAAGTATACAGCGCTGTGGTCCTACCAGGGCGATTAATAACGCCGAAATAGACTGTATTTATTTCAAAATGGTTGCAGAGATTATTTATTAAATTAAATTCGGCGGTTAAATTCAATGGAAATCGAATCTTTTCATCGTCAAAGTCGACATTTTCTAAGATTGCAGACGTATTTATTTTATTTTGGTTTGATCTCATTAATCTTAAATAGGAAATATATTAGTAAAGACGGATGTATTTGTCGAAAGTATTTAAGATGTAAACATTTATTTTGATCTTCGTTTCCTTTTGAGTAGTCTCTGAAGACGAAAATTAAAGTTGTACAAATACTACCTCATTAAAGTCTCGTTTAAAAAAATTGATATATTATTAAATGTCTTCTGGAATTTAATATATTTCTTATTAACCGTGCAAACAGAGCTTCAAGTGTACGGTTGACAATTCCATTATTTTGATAGCTGTTCGGATTAGAGGGATTCGGATCATCGCCACCGTACTGTAATATACTATACTTTCTTCGTAACACACAATACGAGGTAAGTATAAGTCTTGATTCCGATGCAAGACCCAAGTAGGAATAAATATTGAAAACTCTAAATAATATAGTATTTTTTTGGGTTTTCTGCAGTAAACATATTGAAAAAATCAAAATATTTTCGAGATTTAATTCTCAACTTCCATGTTTACAGTACAGTAATATTTAACCTTTGGCTTGTATAACAGCGTTCATACGATCATTCATCGTATCCACAAGAGGCAGGCATTAATTTGGAGTAATTTCATCCCAAATTTGGTGTTTTTTAGCAGTATGGCAACTCTTGCACCATCCTGCTGGAAGATAAAATATCCGTGATATTGTAATTTTTCTAACGATGCCAATAGGGTTTCCTCGAGGATATTTTGCTGCATTTACTAATCCCTCGATGAAATGCAAATTTTCCACATATGCAACCCCACGCCATAACACTTGCTGGGAATTTTACAATGCTCTGTAGACAGTCATGATGGAATGCCTCTTGCTTTCTAGTGACTTTTTTTTTTTATTGCCTCCAATGCAGACTTCAAACTTTGCCCATTGCTAAAAACAACCTGCTTCCACTGTTGTGTCCAGCATTGGTGCTCTTTGCCCAATTCAATCGGTTTTTTTTTATTTGTGTTTTTGTGAGAAATGGTTTTACCTTTGTCTAAGAAGGTGTTTGTGATCGGTCTTTGTTATGGTTGCTGGCCTTCCAGTTGATTTTTCTGGATGAATTTTACCAGTTTCCTGATATTTGAAACAATACTCCACACTGTAGAATTACCAATTTTTAATTTCTTTGAAATTTTTCCTACGGATTTGCCCTGCCTCTGGAGGATGAGAATTAATTCATGTAGGCCTACACTTATAGCCTTACCAGGTACCATTTTAATTAAACAAATACACCTCAATAATGTTAATAATGTTAAAAATATGCAAATATTACATGTCAGCTCATTTACACATTTAGGAACAGGTCATTTAAATTGAAATACACGAGTTGTGTACGTAAAGATAGGCCTGTAACATAACTAAATACAGTATATATAGTTATAGTTAATGGGTGAATATGTAATTTTTTAATTCTAATTACAATTTTTTCATAAAATAAATTCATAAAAGTCGTTTTTATTAGTGTAAATATTCTGTTAATAATTCTTCTTCGAATTAGTTTAACATCATCATGAATGAAGAGAACAAAATGGCGACTTTTTCACGATGAACTATCTAGCGATATTGGAAGAGCATTATAAAAAAAGAAGAAAACTATTCGGAAAGATTAACGAATAATCAAGGTAAGGATTTTAATTTAATTAAAGAGTATTGAATATTTTTTGGATTAAATTCTTATAAAGATATAACCAATTACATATCAAACTACATCATTAGATTTAAGAGTGCATGCTTCAGATCGATCGATCTGTAAGATCGGATCAAATTTTGTCATGTGATGGAGATTGTTTATCGCGTGTTTTAGTTGACTAAATGTATACAATTTTAACCGAGAGCATATATATGCTCTCGATTAAAATTGCAGCCTGGTGAATACTTTTCCTGATGATAACAGTCAGGACGGTCATCTATATGACTCCGTTGTGAAGATTCTTATCTTGTTATTACAGTATACAACTTCTTTGACGATTTCCATTAAGACGGGTAACTTTTACTGCTAGAGGAGACCCATAAACAGGAGCAAGTTGATGACTACTGGAAGAATTTCTAACGATCGACTCTTTTGAACAACCCAGCTGCAATTGTTATAAAGTCAGCATTAACTTACTCACACGGTAATGAAGAACTGGAACGAGGATTTTCCATTTCACACTGGGCACTTACTGAAGATAAGGGCATCGGTGTCATAGAGGATGCTGATAATCAGAGACGGTTTTAAGTTGTATGGAGTATGTCCTTCAGTGCCAGTAATCAAAGATCATCTCAAATTAGCACGCAATGTAAGTCATTAATATCAGTGTCACTTAGAAAAGCAAAGAGAAAAAGCAGAGAATATAAAAGTTGAAGAGCACAGAAAGCAATGGAAGAACAGAAGCAAAACGTTTCAAAGGAAAAGCGGGTGTTAGCGTTCCGAAAGATGACCTTAAGGTAAAGAAAAACAGAGGAGGGAGGATACAAAATTCAACTTATTAATGAAGCTTCTGATCGGCTTAAAAAAGGAATGTTATTTGATAGCAAAAATCCTATCGGCTTGCATATGCCATGCTCGAGAGAGTGAAGTGAAAAACAAGAAACGTTGACGAAGTTCAAACAAATTTAAATATATAAATAAAAAATAAGTGACCAAAGAATTGTTTTAAAAACTCAAAATACTTCCTAAAATCAGGAAATAATTATTATTAAGCCTTTTCTTGTAGGTGAAATTAAGTTTTAATGTTTTTAATTGGTAACAGTACACTAATTTTTAATAATTTAGATCAGTAAACTCACCTTTTCATTTACTCTACTCATTTTTTTTTCACTTTTTTAAAGCCATTTAGTAATTAGAAACTTGCATTAGCTTAATAGTTTTTATTTATTAAGAGAAATACATCTAAATTATCCTATACTTTGTTATTAATAATTTAACATACGAAAGATATATGAACCGAAAGAAACCGGTGAAAAATTATTATGCTAAGCCATCTTTAAAAGTACAAATAGCCTAAATATAAGTAGAAAACTGCTAAGAATTTTTCTGCTTATTACAATTGGAATGAGCTGTGATATCAGCTGTGAGTACAGCAAAACATGTTCAGATGCAACATGTTAAACACTCCAACTCTATGAATCCTAACTGCATTAATATTATAAAATTCATCGATTAAACTTCGCATGCTGTTGAACATGGTCCATTTCCCAATTACACGCCCATCCAGTTCCTTCTGTAATTAACCCTTCTAGTTCGCAGGACTATAGTTTAGATACTAAGAGACAAGATAAGTATTGCCTGTTGTCAAAATGTCTTCTCAACACATGGAAAGTATATAACAAGTATAACAGCTTTATACTTGTTTTACGTCAGAGTATAGTTGCAGACTTAATACAATGAAGAATCGAATATACATAATACGTATAATTCATCCATATGTTTTGGAACATAATCGGCTCAGTCACAGAGCAATAAATGCATAAGAACGTATCAAATCTGTCATCTATCTAAATTTAAGAAATTCATTTTCTCCTCCGACATCTGACGAGAGTTATTCATTCTGTCAATCAACATATAATGGATTTAATAGTATCTTATATAAAATTTGATTATTTCATTGCTTCACATCTATGGGGCACAGAACATTATTTCAACATCTGCCCCACTCCATAGAGTTTGCAAGAAGCTGACACTATTACTCGTCTATGTCTCGTTCGGAAGAAGATAAAGAGGTCATAACCCCTAAAAAGGAAAAGGGAAGAACTACACGTTGGGCTTAATCAAAGGAATGGAATACATCAAACGCCCAGCAACATAATGCATATAATTCCTGGAGTGAGACTTAATGAAAGCAAAGTTAACCCACTTAGATTTTTAGATAGACTAAATTAGTACAATGCAAAACATTTAAATGATCAAAGGTCACTTAATCGTCGACAAAAATAGTATAAGATACGAATGATTCCCGCTTTGATTCTCACGTTCTCAATAACCAATGTAATGCATTAGAATTAAGCAATTTATCAGAAAATGATGATCTTGACAACGTGATTAAATTATTTAGGCATATGTAATTATGTCAAGTCAATCAATCAAATCCATATTAAGAGTTAATTGTATCATTGTTTCGAATTGTAACCACCATAACAGGGTAATTATTATTTTGCAATTAAATATTTTCATAATTACATCTAGTTAAATAATTTAAGATCACTAATAAAATAGAGCCAAAAACTCTTCTTTTAATAACTTATTCCACCACTGTGGAGGGTTTTTTTCTATAAACTTTAAAATTACTTCGAAGATAATCAGTCAGAATAGGATATTACAAAATATCCTTATACCACGCATGACATTGAGATTCGGTGGTGCCCGCAGACTGTACAAAAGTGGAGCACAAGTTATAGAAAATAAGCATCATACATTATGCAATAAGCTTCAAACTACGATTCAACGCTCCCACAAGATGGCAATGGTTGCAATCGGGGTTAAATTGGCCTTGAAAACAAGTAACATTGCTTGTTTTCAAGGAATTTGGACATCGATCAACTCAAGGTTACGCGAAGTATTACGAAAGAAATGTAAAATTCTTTGTCATTTTTTCTCACTCATTGGGGTTTTTTGTCGAATCTAAAACCAAAGAAAAAATGACTTATCAATAATACGAGTGCGATGGTAGTCCTTGGTGGAAAAGAGCCAAGAATCCATAAACTTATTTCAAACAAGCAGCAACAAATTTCACACTTATTTGTAATAATTTCTATGGAAAATTAGGTGTTACACACAAAGAAAATCCGAAAAACTCGACGTAATCAGCCAGTGAATCCGCGACTAACTATGTACAGTACCTCGTACTAGTGTTCAATGGTTATCTACTCGGCCACTTGTAGGCACACCTTTATTGGTCTATACCAGTGTTTCTCAACCTCTAACGAATCGTCGCCCCCTTCAACGTAGTATCGCCCCCTTCAATAAAACCGTTACGTAGTATCGCCCCCTTCACTACAAAATTCCGATGCCGAGGGACAAGGCTAACGCCAAATTCGTACTGCATTGAATAGACTAGTGACAAGTATAATGTTATTTGTTTAATTATTGTACGATATAACGAATAAAATATCTAATTATTCTTAATATAATGTTTTACTATATCACCCAGAAAATTGTTTTTCGCCCCCAAAATATAAATTGTTGCTAATCGCCCCCTGAACATGGAAAACGCCCACATGGGGGCGATATCGCCCCCGTTGAGAAACACTGGTCTATACTTACTGGTTATTTGATGGCGCTCTTTTCCATCAAGACAGCATGCAGTAAAAAATAATGAACAGACCATAGTAAAGGTTAGTTTTTGATTGATTATAACGTAACATTTTTACAAATAATGCCAAGATGTTACATGCCTAAAAGTGGGGCAAGACTATATACTATTTATAGTAAACGAATAATACAAGCTGTTGTCAAATCTGGTGGAATGTCACAACGAGAAGCTAGTTCTTGCTTCAACATTGCAAGGCTTTACAAAATAAAATTAATGGAAACCATCCTTTGAAACAAGGAGTTTTTACCAGAAAAGAGGGAGAAAATCATTAATTACCATCTTGTAATGGAAACTCAAATTCTGATGCCATAATAACTGAATTACGCCATGTCAAAGGTTTATTTGGACCATCATAGAGCAAACATTCATCGGATTAGAGATAATCTACCTGAATATGATTTTATAAAAGGATTTTTACATCACAATAAGGAGTTAGATACACGAACATCTGCTAACATCACAGCAAGAAGTGGAACAATTTCTACTGAAACTACAGACGAGTTTTACAATAACTTTGGCACATGCAATATGGTTCAATACCATCCAATATCAGTGGCGTAACGTGGGTGTCAGCCGCCTGGGGCGGAGGAAAATTTCGCCCCTCTTATTTAGGTATCTCAATTTAAAAGACTAAAATTCAGTTTCGTCACAGAATAAGTAATGAAAAATTCCGTGCTAGTGTTGCCACCTTATTGAAATCGCTGACCCGGACGGCAGGTGATGTTTGTTCGAATAGAAGTTCCTGACGCATGCTTATGTCATTTTGCAATGCGAAGAATAATGTGCAGTGTATGCTGGTTTTAAATCAGTTAGTTACAATTACAGCGACTAGGGAGCTTGGATAGGAGTAACGCAAGTGACCTAGCTGTATTGGATGTTGGAGGTATATATATATATATAAATCGTACAAGCAAAACAAAAAAAAAAGGCAACAGGTTGCGCACGATATCCCCGGACGGCGAGTCGATTACGGACTATCCGATGGATGGTAACACTATTCCGTGCTCATTTCAATCGGTCCGAGTCGTAGGTTGATAAAATATGAAATAAAATGGTTCAAATTCTTACAAGCTATTATTATTATTATTTATTGTGAAATTTTGCCGCCCCCTAAAAAGTGCCACCCCCACTACACTACGCTACTGTCCAATGTATTATTAATATGGATGAAACTAATCCAACGGACGATCCAGGTGCCCGTTTATTTATTGATTATAAAATCTATAAGTAAATGGGCACGAAATATCCTAATACAGTGTTTTTCAACCTTCTTGAATACACGACCCCTTTACAGGTTAAAAAATTCTGGCGACCCCCTAGGGCCATATTAAAACTATATCAGTGATTTTAAAAACTATGTATTTAATTTTCTTTCTGTTGAGACAGATTATTGTTGATTAAAATGAAAATTACAGAAGAATCGACAATAATTTAACACACATAAAGTATGAAACTTCCTTTAATAATAGCATTAGGCACAGGGAACTGTTTTTTTTTTTAGGATCTGAATTTTCAGCTTCTACTTTTTATCTCCTTTTGCAAATCAGCTCAACACTTTTTCCGCTATCATTTTCGTAATTCTCGCTGAAATTGCAGTTTTTTTTTTAATATAGTGTAGGACCTACACACGCTTGTGTTTTTCTTCTACCCGCGACCCCCGTGTAAGACTTCGCGACCTCCCTGGGGGTCGCGACCCATAGGTTGAAAAACACTG